ACGTTGCCTGTTTCTCCGGGCGCTCTTCACCGTGACCTTTCTTCCGTGACCTTTCTTCCCGCTCTGATTCGGAGCTGGTGTCAGCCACCTCACTCAGCACAGTCTCCGATGGCGCAGATTCTTATGACCTTTTCACCGTGCACCATTCCACCTCCCAGGGTTTTGCCCCGGGGAGCTCTCTTTTCCATCCCCTCTCTGGGGTCACCCCCTCAACAGCCCTAACAATTATGAATTCATGGACCACACATAGAAATCCCAACTTTCTCTAGGGAATCGATTGTCTGATGTTTTGGTTAAAGTTGGCCATCATTTTTCTTCCTGTCCCTATATCACCTTTTTAGCAAGAGGAGAATTTCCCCTTAAATTCCTCATGGAACCCTCAATCTCTGATCAGTCCTCAGAACCCCCACCCGGTGACACCTTTCGAAATATTAGTGCTGGGCTGTCTTGTGGTCGTGTCACAAAAATAAAGATAATAAAGTGCAGCAATGTAGTTACTTGGGATTTGTCTGAGCCAGGGAAAAAGACAAAAAGGCACAAATTCAGACAAAGGTCATTGCCAAAGTCATGTTATTTCCTTTTCATTTTAGAAAAATTCAGTCACCCTTCAACTCCAGTCTTTGCATTCCTCGTCTACGTGCTCTGGATTTGACCTGAAGGTTCGAGAGCAGAGGGATGCTACATTCCGAGTAGAAAGAGGCTCAGAGTTAGCTGAGGATTTTTCTCCTTGCTCATCCCTTCAGAGCTATTTCCTGTCATTACAGTTTGAGTGTGTTCTTCACATGAGGGATACTAAGGTCTCATATCCCAATTTCCTTCTCGCAAAGTATGCAAATAGCACTGCACACAGGGTAATTACAGGGCTGGACAAGGTTAATAAAAGAGAGGGTGGGGAGCAGGAAGGGAGACCCAAGGACCTACTATAGGGAGAAGTTCTACTGGGGAAATATAGGAAGGGGAGCTCTGAGTGTCTGCTCCCAGGATGACAAATGACTTAAACCAGCCTGTTTCAACCCAAACCCTTCTTTCATCATCTCTCAACAACTCGCGCAGATAAAAGGCAAGTGGAGTTTTGTTTCTAATTATTTTGGAATGTCCATGGTGACAGAGAAAATTAGATTTAGCTTTAAAAGTCAAGCACCAACAAATGTACCCTGAAAATGTCCGGAGAGAGACTGATTCTGAAATGCGGAGTCTCCAGGAAACCAAGCAAGTGAGGGAGCCAGAGAGAGCTGGGACCATCTCAACTGTCACCACTAGCAATGCCAGTTCCTTCCGGCATCAAGAACAGCAATCTGCTTCCTAGGATGGGAGTCAGCCTTCCCCTCCCTAACCCAACCCCACCTCCCCAGGGTTCAGTGCCCCGGTTTCCAAACAGCACAAAGCACTTCTCTTTCCACTGGGCACCTTCTCTCACCTCTGTGATGTCACACAGCTCCTCTCATTTCTGCCTCCAGGTTGTGCTGCTCTACGCCTCCAGCTATGTCCTGGTGTCCCTCAGCATAGACAGATATCATGCCATCGTCTACCCCATGAAGTTCCTGCAAGGAGGTGAGCTGCCTCAACCAACTGCTATTTTGTAGGCCTGCTATAAAATCTTGACTACAAGGTATAGTCAAATGTCATTAAAAATGTGACAAAAGCCCAACTTGTGGAAAATAGATAATGTCTTTAAAATACCATTCTGCAAAATTTACACCCAAGGTAGCAAAATTAATAGAGCAAGCAGAACTTTAGACTAAATAGAATTAATGTCATCAGATACTACTGAATACATACTATTAGAGCAGATACTTTGGCAACTTAACCATATCTAATGAATTGTAGCCCTTGACATAGAAATTCTACTTCTTGGCATCTTCTCTGGGTGCATGTATACATGTGCTGTGTCTTGTAGCATTGCTTAGAATAGCAGGAATTCAGTGCTACCCTTGGTGTCCCTCAATGGAGGAATGGCTAGCTGTCCTGTAGAAGTTTTAGTAGCTTAGGTACATTGATTGCATGCTATGTGCCACCCATGACTCTAATCCTCACAACAGCTCTGTGAGGTAGGCTCTAGTATCATCTGCATCTTCCAGTCTAGGCAATTACAATTCAGAAAGTAAAAGTAACTTGCCCAAGGTCATGCAGCTAGTAGGTGCAGGGGCTGGATTTGAACTCAGATGGTGTGGGTCTAGCTCAGCTGCCTGTGACATACCCTGTCTCTCTCAATGAGGATGTGGTAGAGCCATGGGCAGTAATGTGCATTGACATAAAAATGTTCAGTGATACAACAGCATGCAGAGAAACCCATGCAGTATGATAAGATTAACATAAAGAAAAAGTCAAAGCAATGCTAGATATTGTTGAGAGAGGCAGAGGAGAGAATGCAAGGAAAAGGGAGATCCCCGAATAATATACAGTTGCCTGCAAGGACACCCACCACCTAGTCCTCACTTCTGGGAATGAGAGCTGGGCAAGCCAGAGTGACCACATGCAAAAAGGTAATTTTAACCTGAAACATATCAATTTATTGTGTGCAATTCAAAGTAATTTAATTTACCTGTTTCATAGGCTTTATCTAAGGTGTGTGTGTGTCCAACACCAAGCTTTTGAGCATTGCCATGCCCTGGGGATTATGATAGAGAAGAAAGCAAGGAATAGGATGAGGGGAAATGGGAGAGACAGTCTATGATACATGTATACAAAGGTGTGATACACTTATTCATCCATTTGCTTATGCCCAGTGGGCTCCAGGAAGGAGTGAATGTGGTCTATAAAAAGACACCTCCACCAGCGTATTTTAAGTTGAAGAAATAGAAGAGAAGGGAAAGTACGTATCAGGAAGCATGTGGGGGTGTCTCAGGACACCTGCTGGAGGTGGAGGGCCTGGGGTCTATAGCCAAGAGGGAAGCATGGTCAGTTACATGTCTCCCCATATTCACCGGGTTAAAAAACCCCACTGTTTAGCTCAGAGCAAATATGACGAGTTCTGGAAGATACTGTGCAGTATTCTGAACAGCATCCTAAATTACAGGAAAGGCAGCGATGAATATCATAGTGTTCTTTTAAATATGTAGAGCCATTTATTTCCTCACTATGAAATTAATGAGGCCCAGCCCTTCCTCTGTTTTCTCTGAGCAGAAAAGCAAGCCAAGGTGCTCATCGCCACTGCCTGGGGCCTCTCCTTCCTGTTCGCCATCCCCACCCTCATCATATTCGGGAAAAGGAAGCTCTCCAACGGCGAGGTGCAGTGCTGGGCCCTGTGGCCCGATGACTCCTACTGGACCCCGTACATGACCATCGTGGCCTTCCTGGTGTACTTCATCCCTCTGGCCATCATCAGGTGAGAGGCCCACAGGCCAGACCCCAAGGGAGCTTTCCTGGTTTGTCAACTGCCTCTCTTCTCCCCTATAGCCCACTCACTGTTCCTCATGTTCTTGGGGGAAGTGGCCGGGCCACACGCTTTTATCTAAAGCTTGTGCTAAGCCCAACTCCTCCAAGTAGACGCAGTGGTTCTCAACCTTCTGGCCCTTTAAATACAGTTCCTCATGTTGTGACCCAACCATAGAATTATTTTTGTTGCTACTTCATAACTGTAATGTTGCTACTGTTATGAATCCTAATGTAAATATCTGATATGCAGGGTGGTCTTAGGCGACCCCTGTGAAAGGGTCGTTCAACCGCCAAAGGGCTCGCGACCCACAGGTTGAGAACCGCTGAAGTAGAGCAAGGGGCAGGGCACTAACATTTGCTGAACCAAAGGGGTCTCGACCCACAGGCTGAGAACCGCTGAAGTAGAGCAAGGGGCAAGGCACTAACATTTGCTGAGTGTGTGCTATGAGACAGGCACTGGGCTAAGTGGCTAACAGTTACCCCATTACTCATGCTTCAACTCTATGAAAGAACTACTGCTGTCCCCATTTAATAAATGATGACACTCAAGCTCAGAGAGGTTAAGTTACTTACCCAACATCACACAGGATTTGAACCCAGGTCTGATTTCACACCTTGCTCTTTGTCCAGCCTTTCAAGTATAAGACATGGTACCAGTTCCAGAGATCTTATCACTGAAAAGATAGTTGAAACAAAACTGAGCAAAAACAACAATAACACAAAACATAAGTCAAGTGTGTGTGCAGGAGGTCAGGTAATGGCAGGGAGCATTTCCCGGAACCCACATTGAAGGATAGAAGAACTCAGACAGGAGAAGGGGAAAGCAGAGGGGCAGTTGGCTCCCTGGTGACCAGAGGTCAGAGTGAGTGTGGCAACAGGAAAGGACAGGCAGGCAGAGCCAGTGGGAGAGAAGTTGGCAGTAAGCTCTTTCTGGTTGGGGTGAGGCTCGACTGGGAAGGGCCTTAGAAACCACCCTTTGTCCTGTGGCCAATGGTGGGCCAGAGCT